GCTAAATATATATAGTCAAAAGTGTTTGATGGATGCAGCCCTTTTTGAGCCATTGTTTGTTACTTAGTTTTATATCTCACCCTTTCTTAGGAACTCAGGGAGATATAAATAATGCTCTATCCCAGTGTTTCTCAACCTTGGCAACTTTACGATGTGTGGACTTCAACTCCCAAAATTCTCCAGCTAGCAATGCTAGCTGGAGAATTCTGGGAGTTGAAGTCCACACATCGTAAAGTTGCCAAGGTTGAGAAACACTGCAAGTATATCCCATTTTTCCCATAACAGGCTGCCCTGAGAAACAGTGGCCTAAAGTCATTGGATGGCTTAGCTTGGGATGGGTAAACTTGGCCCTGAGTCACAAAGGTGCCGTTCCCAATTTGCTTTTCATTTTGTAATAGGGAAAAGGTCCTGCAACATTAAAATATACTCTTTAAAGACCCAATGCCTTTCTAAGCAGGCTTGAAACCATTGCCTAAATTAGTTCTTATATAATACCCAAGCAACTAAAATCATGTTAATTTCCAAGCTTTGTTCACGTTTCTTAAAATATAAACTTTTCTTGGATACATATCTCTTCTGCTTCCCCAGATATTATATTCCAAAGTAAGCAAAGTTTTTTTTCCTTTGACAGGTAACAAAGGGTGAAACATTGACATAGTGTGAAGCTGGCAAGGAGTCAACCTTAGGGAAAAAAAGTGCAGCTGTTTAGAAGGCTGATGATCAGACTTCAGGTTTCTTCATTACTTAACATGGATGGGAGTTAACTCATTTTTGCCCCTTGGGAAGCTGCCTCCTCCATTTGGAGACTTTGTGTGGGTGATTCCAGCTGAAACAGCTAAATTGTACAAGAGCATGTTTAATTATGTTTTATACAAGCAAATTCACTCAGTTCTTGTCCTATTGTGTCCCATGTACACGCAGAACTCTGGCTTCACAGCAATTAAATGTTGATGGAACACAATCTTAATTTCTGGGAACACTGATTATTACTATGAGTTATTTTTGGATATCTAAACAGATCAGGATATTAGGGCTATGCATAGTGTGTGGCTCTTATGGCTCGCTCTTGCTGCTCAAGATATCAAGTAACCTATTTGAATAAATGTGCAGTATGTGTAGGGTGGGTTGGGCTGGGCTGGGCTGGGCTGAGGGAGATCATGTGCCAAGGGAGGGATGACTCAGTTTTCTAAGTATTTTGTATTCTTTAATGTAATTTGAGATGTCTTTTCCATTTGTGTTCAACAATAAAATCACTTCTGCTTAACACATCTGAATATTTTTTTTAGCTAATTTAAGAATACACATGCACTTGATACTGTCATAGAGTACTATAGAGTAACCCTTGTATCAGATTTGTCACATTCATGTATTATGGCTGTTTTATATTATGGTGCTTGTAGCATCTTGGAATTTTTTTGGTTCCTATGCTGCCCCACTCCCCCCCCTCCATACACAAGTGTATAACAGGTGTTTATTCAACCCTCCCCCCCCCAAACAGGTCCTTGGAAAGCACCCCTGTAGCACAGGTCCGGATTCCAAGCTCAGTACAGCAAGAGTCACTGGGTAACCAAGTCCAATGGCTACACACAAAGTCTAGGAGTCAAATAGGCCAGGATACACAGCATGAGCACACAAGGCACAGAACTGGGCACATTGCTCCAACAACACTCAAGTCCTCAGAGTGGCTTTAAGTAGGCAATGCCAGTGCAGACCTTCATGAGCGATGAGGTTGCCTCCTCATGAGTAATCTAGCGTTGACGGATGCTGTCTCCTCTCTGCTCTATGGGTCATTGGATTAAGAGGAGGTGTGAACTCCACCTCCTCATTGCTAATGGTAGCTGCTCCTAGTCCTGGCCTGGAGCCTCCTGGCCAATTTGCTGCAGCTGCCGCTCACTTCCCTCAGCCTGTCACTGGTCCAATCAATCCAGCTGAGGCTGTTTCATCAGGCTAGCACTCTCAGAGCCCAAATCATAAACAATACTCAGCTCCACACTTTCCTTTGCAGACTCAAACTCAGCCTCCTCTGAACTCACATCTGGAGAGGGGTCCTGGGGCGGATCCATGACAGTTCTTACTAATAGATAAGGTTGGAACAAGAAATGTCTGGGAGATAATCGGGAGGCATCCAGAGGCCTGGCTTTGCAGATTACTGGTTGCCAGATGCTGTTTCTTAAGTTGGGCACCAGGAAGTGGCAGCTGGGATTGTTGCTCTCATACCAGTTTCCCTGCTGCATGGCAACATCCCTGCCCGAGCTCCTCGCTGGGTTGGCAATGAAGTGTCTGAGCTAATGATCCTAGGGGATTTTAATTTGCCTTCACTGGGCATGGGGTTGGAGGTAGCTCAGGAGTTCCTAGCTACCATGGCAGTCATGGGCCTGACCCAAATTGTCCAGGGTCAACTCATAACAGTGGTAATGCACCTGTTTTTTAACTGGGTCAATGGCAGAGTGTTTTGGATTTGAAGAAAATACAGAATTCTCCCTTGCCATGGTCAGATACTGGTGAGCCTCCAGTTCTCTGGTGCCAACCATTCCTCAGGCAGGCTGGGCCTGTCCCCAGGCAATGGACCTGATTGAGTTCCAGAGGGCGCTTGGGGTTATTCCAGAAAATCTACTTCTTGGTCCCATTGAAGCCATTGTGGCTGCGAAGCAGCAGTGGCTTTTGATTGGATTGTGCCTGAGCGCCCTTTCTGTATACAGGATTCTCAATGCTCCCTGTGGTACATGATAGAATTAAGGGCACTTAAAGCAGGCTAAGATCGCTGGTGACAAAAAACAAAACAAAACAAAACATAAAACGAAGACCAGACATGAGCTACAGCTGCTATCAGGGCCTATTTGTAACTATTTCTTCACCCTTATTGCCTCTGCCAACAGTCACACAGTGACCCTGTTTCAGGTGACTCTGTCCCTCCTCGAAGGGAGCAATACAAAGTTCACATAAAAGGTCACTGTGAGGAATAGGCTGCACATTTGGTGATCGAAGTAGTTGACATTCGCTCCATGTTGGACTCCAGCTTTAAAGCAGAATCTGTGGAGGTGGTGAGGTTACATCTTGCAAGGTGAACCTGGGAAGAGTTTGGGAACTGAGGAAGTGGACAAGGCCCTCTCAACTGCTAGTTTGGCCACTTGTATAATAGGTCCATGCCCTTCCTGGCTTATTAAAGCTGCATGGGAGGGGAGATGGGATTGGATCTGGGTGGTAGTTTATGCCTCCTTGAAAGAGGGAGTGGTCCTACAAATTCTTAAGAGGCAGTGGTGACCCCCCTCCTCAAAGGACTATTGCATGACCCAACCAAGCTGGGAGTCTGAGGACTCCAACAGATCCTAAGAACAATATCAGAGCTCTCTGTCCAGAAGAGTGCGGTGTTAGGAACAGTTAAGATACTGCACAGAATCCTCAAACTTCCAGGCCATAGAGGACCCAGCATTGAGGAAGACAAAACCACCCATAGGGTGAAGGTTTATATATGCACAAGTATAATTAAGTTTCTTAATGAATGTACCAGAGAAAAAATTATTCAAAGTGCCTGCAAACTAAAGAAAATAAACTGAGATTTTTTTTCAAACATGAAAATACTTTACAAAAAAGAACTGTGTTGAAGTTTCTAAACAGAATTGTTGATAAAAATGGGAATTTAAAATGCAGATTTCCATTCAAACTTACAATTTTGAAACCACAAGGAGCAGAGAAATCTTGACCAGTTTAAGAATAATATGCCAGCAGATTATTGGTAGCTCAATATTGGAAGACGGATGGTTTGCCTACTGTAGAAGAATGGTCGATTAAAGTGTCAAATTTAGCGGAAATGGCTAAGATTTCTGCTTATTTGAAGGATCAGTCATATGAAAGTTATATTTCAGTATGGAGAAGATGGATAGATTATATTCAAAAAAAATATGGGACTGAAAAGTTCCATTTGGCTTTTGGGTAAAATTTTAAAATATTTTTATTGTTATTATTTTATTAAGTGTTTGCATAATAGCTTGTATGATTTTATTATAATTTTGACTAGTAGTGTTGTTTACTAGTTTGTTTGTTTTTTCTTCTTTTAATAATGTATTTAATTTTAATTTTAACTTATTTAAATTTATTTTTTAAAAAATGAGTTAAAGTGTGTTATAGATTTGGTTACATAATTAGTTGGTTTATGTTATTTAGATTATGATTATTATTTGTAACCCTGTGAACAGCTCTGGGAAGTGGGGGGGAGGGGGGTTGTAGGGGTGGGGGGGATTTATATTGTAAACTTTATAAAACTTTTAATAAAAAAAAGAATAATATGCCAGCCTAAATTCAGTTGGAAAGTGTGGTAATATTCTAATAGTTTCATTACCCGGTTCTGTTAGCAAATAGTCTTATGGCTAAGATACAAAATTTAGCAATTGGAAAGGTAACAGCTATCATCAAGAAAAACTTAAAAACACTGATTGGAACAGTTGGAATCACCCACTAGAGGCTGAATTAATCGAGAAGGAGGTTTCCTATATTTACACTTTAAAAAGATCTGCTGTAGGGTTTAAATTTCACGACACCTCCTTAGGGCAGTGCGAGGAATGGCCTTGGAGATTAAAAGAAGCAGACCCAGCTGTCCAATGAAGATTACAGTACGGGTGATGAGGAGGATTCAAAACACAAGCAATAACAGCGAGAAAAAAAAGTTGCCAGGGTTGAGAAACACTGATGTATCGCATACTAATTCCCACTGGAAAATTTCTGTGTAAATTGTGCCCAGGTTATGCTACTGTAAATATATCCCTTTTATTCTCTGCCAGAGCATATATTTTTTATCGCCTTTAAAGTCTAGCGTCCCTGCCTTCAAAATACGTAAACTAAATGTCTTCTTCGGTGGAGCAGTGCTGAGAAGGGGGGGGGAACCTTCTTTCGGCCATGCCTAACCCCAAACGTTTGCTTTCTGCGTCAGCTTCTCCTCCTCCCTGTCAGGCTTAAGACTTTCATTTTCGATCTTGGATGCCAGGTGGACGCCGCGCCCTGAAAGTGGTTCTGGGAATCTGGCTTGCTTTGCTCTGGTTCGGTTTTCCTTGGCTGCCTTCCCGGACCGGTGAGGCCCTTTTGGAGTTGAACTGAGACGCTGGGTGGGGCTGGCCTACGGCCTGTTATAGAAAGGGGCCGCGTTTCAGTGAAACGCAGTTCAGGGGTGCAGAGGAGGGTGGCTGCTCCCTTTATAGAAAATGCCTGAACTATGGCCGCCAGCGCGGGAGGGAAGGGAGGGGCGGAGAGACTTGGTTCTTGCCGCTTGGGCAGAGGAGAGTTGAGGGTCTGGGAGTGGGTAGCCCAGGGGTAGGCAACCTCGGCTCTTTTATGACTCGTGGACTTCAACTCCCAGAAGTCCTGAGTCAGTTATGCTGACTCAGGAATTCTGGGAGTTGAAGTCCATGAGTCATAAAAGAGCCGAGGTTGCCTACCTCTGGGGTAGCCTCTCCTTTGTCATCTCCACTGAGAGATTTTTCGACGGAGCGGGTCAGGGAGAGCGCCTGTGACTATTATACAGTGCACCAAGCTGCAAAGCCATAATAACGTATCTCTTATGGCAGTTGAAGTTTGCAAGTATTAGTACTGTATTATGCCAAAGTTTGCTGAAACGAAGATAGGAATTGTATTCTAGCTGATTTGCAAGGTCTGGGCTGCCCAATCTTGTTTTATAACTTCTGGAAAAGGACCTTTTTGTTAATCAGATAGGAACTTTACAAATTTTTCAATTGAAAAACTTTTAAGGCTGTTGTTGCTAGCTAATAGAGAAGCGGATACTAGTTAATCATTACCACAGATCTGCTTATAATAAGAGGGAACATGCCATTGGCAAAACAGCTTTAGGTAAAATGATAACTAAAATATAATGGCATTTAGAAACTTAAAACTGCTTTTAATCCTTGGACATAAAGAACCCCTGTGAAGGGATAAAACTACAGTGACTATATTTTCTTGGAAAATATAAAGTATAAACCTGAAAAGGGGGCAAATCTGAAAGACGAGCCAGCGAAGCAGCCATTGCAGTGCTGCTAGATATTTTAGAGAGGGAAAGTACATATTTATACATAGAACCTTGGCATGACTAAAATTACCTTTACTACTTTTAATTCCAAAATCTAGTTTATAGTTAATTTCAGTGATGGGATTCAAATATGTGAGCAACCGGTTCTCTGTGTGGATGCCGCTTCCGGAAGTCCATTCTGGGCCTGGGCAACAAAAAATTAGCTACTGGCTGAAGTGGTGGGAACTGGCTGAATTCCAGCACTGGTTAATTTCCCTTGTATTGCCCATTCTCAGATCCCCAAAATTGTATCTGGATCTGTTCAAGTTACGGCAGCTCTGATTTCTCACACCATGATGCCCTGCTTGTTTCTACCAGAAATAACACATCCGTTCTAACTTGGTGAGCAAAGATCTGGTAGAAGTCGGGTACCTTCTGCTGCAGGGACCAAAAATACCTTCTGGTATTTTTCTGTAGCTGGGATTTCACCATGGTTTTGAATAATACAGTTTGTTGTACAGATAGTCTTCAATTTATGTCCATGGTTGAGTCCAAAATTTATGTTGCTAAGTGAGACAGTTAAGTGAGTTTTGCCCCATTTTACAACCTCTTTTGCCAAAGTTGTTAAATGAATTTTTGCAGTTGTTAAATTAGTAACACAGTTGTTAAGTGAATCTGGCTTCTCCATTGACATTGCTTGTTGGGAGATTGCAAAAAGAGATCCTGGGACACTGCAACTGTCATAAATATGAATCAGTTGCCAAGCATCTGAATTTTGATCACATGATAACGGGGATGCTGCAGAGATTGTAAGTGTGAGAAATGATCATGTCACTTTTTTCAGTGCCATCGTAACTTTGAATGGTCACTAAACTGTTGTAAGTTGAGGACTATCTGTACTGCTCCAAACCAAACTAAATGCCTAGTTAAATGTGGTCTCAGCCCGAGTTTCTTTTCTGCTCTTGTTTTTAAAAAGACGCTACTGTATTCAGGATCCCAAGCCTGGCCCTGGTTGGTTTGAGTGTGCATTGAAACTCAGACATGGTTGGTGATTAATGAATGCAGGATGGTTAAAATGCCTATTCACTGCAGGTGGTAATTTGGGTATTCCACCTACCTGCCAAGATTATGCAAAATTCATTCTGAATGCCAACATTTACTTTGTTTTTTTTCCTGGCCTCTAAAATCTGTTGTGCTTGTAGCTTGGCTATAACCTTACAATGGACACTGGAGGAGGAAAGATGAAGGACTTGCTTGTAGATGCTTTAGAACGTCTTGAGGAAAGAGACATTAAGTTGTTTAAGTCTAAGCTGCGATGTGTAGCAGCTCCTCGGGGAAAGAATATTCCACGTGGTCGGTTGGAAAATGCAGACCGGCTGGATCTGGTGGAGCTCCTTGTCGAATTCTACGAAGAGAAGGCTGCTACACTAATGATAACTATCTTGGAAGACATGGGTTGCAAGAAAAATGCTTCCAATCTCAGCAAAGGTATGGATGTACTGAAACATAAATAGATGTAGAGTGGGAAAGGGTATTGTAGTATGGGCAATCTCCCTGTACCTGTTGCCTGTACTTTAAGGGAGTTGCACTAAGACAGGGGTGTCAACGCAATTTCATTGAGGCCACATCAGCATTGCGGTTGCCCTCGGGGCCGGGTGGGTGTGGCCAGGGTGGGTGCAGCCTACTGGGTGGGCGTGGATGGAGTGGGTGTGGTTTTGGCAGGCAGCAGGGCGCTCTCCTCACAGCGCCAAGAGCTGAGCCAGGCGGTGCGAATCTGATGAGAAGTGCAATGCTGCCTAGCCCCCAGCCTGCCCAGTTTCAGCAGGCAGCAAGGTGCAAAGCTGGTGAGCTTCGCACCGCCTGGCTCAACCTCTTGGCGCTGTGAGGAGAGCGCCCCGCTGCCTGCCGAAACCGGGCAGGTTGGGGGCTGGGTAGCGTCGCGCTTCTTTTTGGATTTGCGCCGCCCAGCTCAGCGCTGTGAGGAGAGCACTCCGCTGCCTACCGAAACCTCTCCCCCAGAGCCCATCAACCCGCATATGTGAAGTAGGCGAGGGCCATTTGCTGGCCACTTCCAGGCGATGGTGCATTTCTTCATTCCTCACAAAGATGACACCTCCCCAGCATGCACCCAGGGGGCGGGGCTGATGTGGCAGGGGCTGGTTCCTCGCTGTTTCCAGACGGCCTTGTGGAGCTAAGACTGAATACATTTCAGTATAAATGGCCACCACAAAATTGTACATTGGCTCCCGGCTGGCCTGGGCCAGGGCCAAGGCAGTGGGGGCCGTTCCCTCACTGTTTCCAGGATGGCTTCGCGGGCCACATGAAACCACTTTGCGGGCCGCATCCGGCCCTCGGGCCTTGTGTTTGACATGTCTGCACTAAGAGAATACATATTGGAGTGAAGGAAGCAGTGTGTGATTGCACCTTTCTCTGCCATAAGACCTTTAACTCAAACATGTTACTTTTCTGGGTCCTCACACCTACCATGCAAAGCCAAGAAAACCAGGAAAGTGTGAGTTCTAATCCTGCCTTAGGCATGAAAGCTGCCTGGGTGACTTTGGATGAGTCATTCTCAGAGCTACCCATATCACAGGGTTGTTTGAAGAAATTAGTAGGCAGGAGTATTAGGTATATTTGCTGCTGAGAGTGAGAAAGAGAAAAGAAAGGAAAGGAGAAAGAAAGAAAGAAAGAAAGAAAGAAAGAAAGAAAGAAAGAAAGAAAGAAAGAAAGAGAAAGAAAGAAAGAAAGAAAGAAAGAAAGAAAGAAAGAAAGAAAGAAAGAAAGAAAAAAAAGAAAGAATGCTTTGTACAAAGCCATTAATTTTTCAAAGCGCTTTGAAGTTATTATCACCTGTACCGGTATTTCTTTTTAGTGGGACCTTTAGAATTGAACTCCTGTCAGGCACAAAACAAGGATGCTAATTAACTAATGTGTTTCCTTTTCAGAGCTCAAGGATCAAGTTCAGGGTATGTGAACACCTCATTACAAGGCCTTAGAATTATTGATATAAATGTATATAAACCCCAAGGTAACTGCATATTTGTTTTTCTTTATTTTTGGAGAACAGTTAGGATATTTTAGAAGAATGTATAAAAACTTAACACTTGAACATATTTCAAGTAGAAAACTAAAAACAGTCTAAAAATTTCAGAGATATAACTAGTTAATGAGTTCCAAATTGATATTAGTCTGTAATATTATTGGAGTAGCGAACGAATGATAATTTAGAGATCTGTGCTAGGGAGAATAGGTCTAAGCTTAATCTTTGCAATGTTGCTAACAAATATTAGGGTCTAAGTAAATCTACTTCTATATGATGAGTGACACAAGCTCTATAACTAGGGTAGGTCTAGAATATGGTAGCTTAAAAAAAACTAAATTAGAATGTATATGTACCCAGCCCATTCAGAAACATTATAGCAGACAAGCATCACATCTGCTTCAGAATACCTCTGTTGTTCTTGACAACTTGAACAAAACAAACACAAAAAATTATTGGAGGAATCAGTGATGAATACCTGCCATTCTCAAACTGGTGCCCTCTAGAAATATTCGACTTTCATAATCCCTAGTCTGTATAACCTTTGGTAGAAGGTACTAAATTGTGGAAGAATGATGTAGATGGATAGGAAGAAGAAGCCCTGTGAGATGGAGGATCTCTTGATAGACCACTTAGGAACTACAATCATACTAAATGATGCGGTCTTCTCTATGTTTTCTGGTATTTTCCTAGGTTACAAAAAAAAGTATGCCAAGTATGTGAAGGAAGAATGCAAAAATATAGAAGAAAGGAACAGTCTGTGTGGTGAGAGCATTCCTTTGAATTCATGCTATGCAAAGCTGCTTATTATCAAGAAGCATAAGTCCCAAAAGCAGAAGGAACATGAACTCCTTGCCACTGGTGGGTTGCACTTGGAAATCCTGAGAACCTATAGTCATAATTTATCCATTGACCTTGAAGATTTATTTGAGCCTGATGAATCGGGAACAATTCCAAAAACAGTAGTGTTGCAAGGACCTGCAGGGATTGGGAAAAGCATGACTGTGCAGAAGATCATGCTGGACTGGGCTGATGGGCGGCTCTATCCAGACATGTTTGATTATGTATTTTGCATCCATTGCCGGGAATTGAACTTTGCTGAAAAAGCCAGCAGCTTGGCTGAACTTATTATTGAGCAGTGTCAGGACAGAGATGCCCCACTGGACGAAATCTTAGCCCACTCTGAAAAACTGCTCTTTATCGTTGATGGCTTTGATGAGCTTTCTCACTTTTTAGAATCTGAAGGTTATTTGTGTGACAAGCCTAATTTAAAGGTCCCTTTGGAAAGTATTTTAAGCAGCCTGCTGAGGAAGATACTCTTGCCAGATTCCTTCCTCTTAATCACCACAAGACCAGGTGCTCTAGAGAGACTGCAGCAATGCTTGAAGTTTCCCAGGTTCACTGAGATCCTTGGCTTTTCTGAAAAAGGTCGCCGTGAGTTTTTTTCCAAGTTTTTTGAAGAGGAGAAGAAAGCCAACATTGCACTGAGATTCACTGAAAATACTGTTGCGGTGTCCACCATCTGCTTCATCCCAATGGTGTGCTGGATCATTTGTTCTGTGATGAAAATAGAACTGGAAACCGAAGATGAGATTGCAGGCACCTTGGATACCACAACAAAAGTCTTTTTGCAGTTCTCTCATATTCTTCTTAAACACGATAATCCCAGATGGAAAACCTCCCCTCAAAATGAGTTCAGAAAACTTTGTTCTTTGGCCAGAGCTGGCATAATGCAACAAAAAGTCCTCTTTGAAGAGCAGGATCTCAAGGAACATTGCTTGGATATATCAGCTGTTAAGGATCTCTTTTTAGAGAAAAGAGCTTTCGAGACAGGTTTGGGCGGGTGCAGTCTCTACAGTTTTTTCCATCTCTGCTTTCAAGAGTTTTTTGCTGCCATGTGGTATATACTGCCAGCAGAGTCAACAGAAGAGATGGATCACGTTATGGGTGACCTGCAGAGATTATTGGTTGAATGGGAGAAGCCAAATAATCAACATTTTGCGCTAACTATATGTTTTATATTTGGCCTGACAAGTGAAAAGACGCACATCTTCTTTGAGCAAGCCCTGCAATGCAAGACTTCTGACCTTGTAAAGCCTCTCTTATTACAGAAAGCAGAAGTAGCTGCTAAGGAACTGGTTCAAAAACGCTATTTCCCGCTAAATTTTTTTCACTGCTTGTTTGAGAGCCAGGAGCCAGAATTTGCAAAGAGAGTGATGCATCACTTCCAAAATATTAACTTTTCCTTCAAAACGCTGTCCATGTTAGACTGCAAAGTCTTGGCGTTTTGTCTGCAACATAGTACAATTGAGGATCATTCCCTTTGCTTACATTTCTGCGGGTTGAAATCTCATCACATCAAGGCTTTGGCTCCAGGAATTAAGAACTGTACAACACTAGAGTAAGTGATCCATCCTTTCCTGTTTCCAAATTTAGATTCAAACTGAAACTGAGATTTTTAAGCGTCTTTCATGTTTTGATCCTGCCTTTGCTAATTGTGCCTTCTTCTCATATTTTGAAAGAATCGTTTATCATTTTGTTCTGCAGAATTATTCACAACAGTGTGAAACCACAGCTGACAGTTCTTTAGGTGGTGTTGATCTTCATGCTCGCTGAGTTCTTCCCAAGATGTCATAATATATCAGCATCATATAAGTGCAGATCCAAGCAGTGGGGCCTCTTGTAATTGACAGATGGAAATTTTGACAATGTGCAGATTTTGTATGTGCTGTCCAAGATTTTTTTTGGGTATGGTACACAGTGTGCCAATAACCACTGGGGCCATCACAGCTAGTTTATACCATAATCTTTCAACTTCAATTAATACTTTGTGATCTCCTCCAGTTCTTTCTTCTATTCCATCGTCTGATATTGCTACATCAATTATCCACACTTTATTCTTTTTAACTACATTGCAGGTTTGGAGATAACAAATTTGGAAACTCAGGAGTGAATGTTCTCTGTACCATTCTGAAGCAACTGGGTTGTAATTTGGCTGATTTGAAGTGAGTAATAAGAGAGCAAAGGCACATCTAAACAGTTGGGTGCATATTTTGTCTTGGAAGAATTGGGTATCCTTACCCGTCCTAATAACTAGCAGCCAACTGGGTGAAATTCTAAAGTAATTAGGCATTAGTTACTCAGAACTGATGTTCAGAAGAGTCAGTTTAATCAATGTGAATAGTGAAGAACAAAGCAGGAGTGAGGAGAGAATGAGTCATTCCTAGAGAACTCAGCAGCCAACTACTAAAAAACATACAAAGATCATCTTCAGTTCCAGGCTACACCTGAAGGCCTGCCCTCAGTCAACTGAGGTAAAGGAATTCTTTGTTTGGATGTTTGCTTTCTGCTGCTTACAAAAGATTTTCCAGTGTTCCTCCTAAGCTGGGTGAAATATACTGTAGCTTAATAAGGAACTCTAGGCATTTCTTGTGCTGAATCTTCAAGTCTTTTTTGATCATATGTCTACAGGAACCTATGGATTTTTCCTCATTTAGTAACTTATGACATGTGATACTATATGGTTCTATGTTGGTACAAATCTCAGTGTTATGACAACATGCAATTGAGAAGGACTGTTTTTTCTCATAGGTTCCCAGGGAAGTGTTTTAAACACTTTTATGCATTAGGATTTAACAATGACTCTAATCATCAAATGTTACAGTACTTGAGGGGAGCTGTATTTTTTGTGAGATCTCTACATTTTAGGGATCAGTAACACTCACTGACTGATTGGCTTCAGAATGAGTATAAATGCCAAGGTGACTTTTTTCCAGATTAATTGATATACGCTAACACCATCCATTTATCACTTAAGGGTACAACCTAGATAGTGTTTATGTTGATATGTATCCATGGTAACATTTCCTGAATCAAGTCTTAAGGCATAGGGCAATATTCAGACCAGGAAGGCTCTGTCACATCAGCCAAAGGGTAATTCAAATATAATTGGTTAAAGTGTGGTGGGGTGGAGAGTACCATCTGTAATAATTTGCTTCTCACGTGTGCTGATTTTGTTATCAAAAAAGATTGAGCAAACTTGTAATGTGGCTTTTAATTTTCTCTTTGCCAGACTTGATTGCAATAACCTCACAGATGCTTGTGCCAAAGAGCTTTGCGCTGTTCTCAGAACTAGTCACAGACTTTTCAGTTTAGACCTTCAAGATAACTCCTTCACAGAGAACTCTGTCCCATTCATCCAAGACTTGATGAAAAATTGCACCAGTTTGGCTATTGTAGAGTGAGTACTGTATTGATAAAGCTGGAAGAGAACATTTGGCTTGCCTTCTGGGAAATGGATATGTTTGTGTTGGCTATCTCGGTACCATTGGGTTGAGCATTCCAAAAAGTTGGAAACTCAGTTACAGTGGTAATGGGAACACCATTGGAAGAGTGAGTTAGGGGAGACATCATGATGGAGGGCATCTATCCTGCCCACGGCAGGAGATCCTATACCACTCCAGACAAGTGGTTTCCAGTCTTTTCTTGAAAACTTCCAGTGATGGAAGTAAGCCTTTCCACTGATTTAATCGTTCTTACTATCAGGAAATTTCTCCTTAGTTCTAAGTTGGATCTCTCTTTAATGATCTCCCACCCATTACTTCTTGTCCTGCCCTCAGGTGCTTTGGAGAATAAATTCCAGTACCTTCAAGTACTGGAAGACTTCTATCATATTATCCCTAGTCCTTCTCTTCTTTAGGCTAGATAAACCTAGTCCCTTTAGTCAAAAAGGTTCACACCAATCAAAAATGTGAAAATAGAAGAAATAAAGAAATAAAATGGCATGTTTGGAGAAACCAAAAGTTAACCAAAGAATTACATTTGTTAAATTGTTAACAATTATGCATTAGGTTTAGGTGATCAGATACAAGTATTCCCCACTCACTGAGAGGGGAGATGTCTGTCTGCCTGTCTGCCTAGCTGTCTGTCTATCTTGAACAGCTTTTCAAGGGTGGGATTTTCTCGTAGTGGTGAAGAAAGCTCTGTGGGCTGAGTTTCCTTTGGGATATATTTAAACAATGGGAAGCTGAGAAGGCTGCAGATTGCAAGAGAGAGACAGACAGAGAGTAGTGTAATGGAATATAGGTTCCTTGACCTCTCCTAACTACATACTGTATGTGCAAGATGACCATTGTCTACCCGTGAGCCTTTTTCCAAAATTCTCATTTGAAATAATGTATAAAGCAAATTTTCCTTCATGAAATTGAATGAAACCTAGTAGATTAAAGTACCGTTAAGGCCAATTAGAGATGGCATGACAATCCATACAGGTAGTGCTCAACTTATAACCATTCATTTAGTGATCGTTTGAAATTACAAGAGCACTGAAAAAAATAATTTATGACTGGTTCTCAGACTTATCACCATTGCAACAATCCCATGGACACATGATTAAAATATGGGCATTTATCAATTGGTATGTATTTATGACAGTTGTACTGTCTCAGCTCATGTGATTACTATTTGCGACCTTCCCAGCTGGCTTCTGAAATCAGATTCACTTCACACCCATATGATTCACTTCACTGCAGTGATTTGCTTTACACTTGTGGCAAAAGAGTCATAAAATGAGGTGTGACTCACTTAAGTCCCTTGCTTAGCAACAGAAAAGTTGGGCTTAGTTGCAGTCATAAGCCAAGGACTATCTGTACCAAACACTGGCCTCATATGTAGCACTTTGTTGTAGCTTCTGTTTTCATTTCTTTTCAGCTTATCATCAAATAAGTTTAATAAAAGAGGACAAAAATCCCTGAATCTGCAAGTCAAGGAGATAACTGAATCAGAGCGTCGCTTTGTGTTATGGATATGACTCTATTCTCACACGGTAGCTACAGAACAAAAGGTAATCAATCCTTAGAGAATAATTTCAAGGAAGTATTTCCACAAGTTTATACCAATTTCAGTTGTTGAAAACAATTTTCAGACAAAAATGTAGACATGAACAATCATTCATATTTTAGAATATTGTGGCATATTGCTTTCCAGGAAATCACTTTCTTTGAAAAACATTAAGTATCCCCTAATATTTAGGGAAATGGGAAAACCATTTGACCAAATTTTAACCATTGATTCTAACATTTATATACATACATTTACATATACATATATATACATTTACATGTAATAATAAATCAATAAAAATAACACTTGAAGCCAGCCTTTTTTCCCCAGATCCTATTGTCAGTGTAGACCAGGAGTCTTCAAACTTGGCCCTTTATGACTTGTGGACTTCAACTTCCAGAATTCCTCAGCCAGGCACGCTGGCTGAGGAATTCTGGGAGTTGAAGTCCACAAGTCTTAAAGGCCAAGTTTGAAGAGCCCTGGTGTAGACAGTGATTATATAATACTTGTATATAGTATATAAAATATATGCTCTAAGATAGGCAAGGAGATATCTGCTTGAACTGATTTTTTGAGGAGATTCTGAAGAACTAAAGCAAGTAGTCATTTAAAAAAATTTAAAATTGGTCCAAGATTATTTTCATCAGAGTATTTTTAATATTGATGTAGTAATAATGAACTAACAAACATGCATCATCCTTGTGAAGGTTTATGTGATCATTAAGATTTGGCAATGACTTCCTGGGACATGATCAACAGACATGTATAATTTGAACAACCAACATCGATATCCGAGAATTAGTATGTGGTCAGAGTAATACCAGTTTCAAAAATCAATGTTGAATCTGGGGGAAAAGGTGATTTTCATCCTACAAAATAAAATTGTCATTAATATTGAAATGTCATTACAATCCATAGTGTAGCCACAATTGGAATATTATATACAGCACTATTTGGTTCTTGCTGCGATATTATGGCAACAGTCGAGAACACACACTAAATTATTGATCCTGTCTTAAAGACTGGCATGATGTCAGAGCTCCAGCAAAATTCAGTACTCAAAACTTTGGAAAGACATTAATAAGTAGGATTCAGAACCAAAATGGTCTGATGGACTGAATGACAAGATATTAGAAATAATCCTTGCTGATCCACCAAATAGTTGTTTCCTGTAAATTCAAACTGATCGCACAGATTGTCATCTTTTTTTCTAAAAAAAATATAGAATTAAGAAAGGTGTCTAAATGAATCTGATTTTGATAGAGGTTCCTATCCATAAACTCTTTTTACCTTGACACTAGTTTCATCATTACACAATGACTTTCTATCACACCAGCTTCACAGTGCAGTTCTGTCAATTTGCCCAATTATCCATGTAGTTTTCCTAGTAGCAATACAGCATGTTATGACCTTCACCCAAACATTTTCTTTTATTGTTTTCCCAGTCTAGTTACAACTGTGAGATATTACAGGTTTCTGGGTCATTGTCTGTCTTTTCTCTTTACAGGAATTCTTGTCAATGGATGGGAGTGGAGAAAGGATGGAAGAATGTTCAAATGGATTTACAGTGCTAAAGTATTGCAGTTTGTGGCCTCCTCTTTTCTTCTAAAACTGGAGAGAGGTGCTTAGGCATTTCATTTTGCTTCAGTTGCCCAAATAAATCCTCGCAGCAAAAAAATAGGATCTGCTGGCTTGAACAGAAACATGTCTTGGATTTGTTTCAATAAAATTCTGTTTTTAAAAAAAGTTAAGTTGGTTCTCTGTGAAAAAGTCTGCCTCCTCTGTTAAAGAAAAACACATACCCCCCAAAAATCCCATGTACAACTCAAATTGTTTGAAAAGTGCCTTTCCCATTACACTCGAGAAAGAACAATATCCACGTAGCTCTTTTTTCCATTTGCTGTTCCTGCCATGGAAATCCTATTTATCATTGTTCCGAGTTCACTAAATTCCACTGTTTTGTATTCCAAGATACATGTCTAATACAGCTGTAGTTTCCATCAAGATCAAGAATCAATTCATCAATCAAATGAAGAGCATTTCACCTTCCTTTTCCTATGTTTCTGCTATTCTATTTTCTTTGGTTTGGTTTGAGGTACAAAGAGTTGATGCTCTTGTTGCTTCCTCTACCAGGGGTGTCAAACTCGCAATGTCATCAGTGGTGGGATTCAGCCAGTTTGCATCACTTCGGCAGAACCGGTAGCTATTGACGTATCAGAAATATAATAAATTGAGTCTGGTCAGAAATCCAGATACAGTTTTTTAATTAATTTTCACAACACTTTGAACCATAAACTTAGAAACTACAGTGGCATACATTACACCAAAACTAACAACCATATTACAGTCTGGCTTACATAATATACTAAGCCACCATTCTGATCTATACAATACAGCACGCCATAATGTACTTTGTGGCTTAATGTGTGAATTTAGCCCACTGTGGTTTAAATGTTTTATCATTTAACACACTCAATGCACCACACTTATTTAAGTTCACACAACATTCTGAGCCATAAATTGAGGTCTGTTTTCATGGAGCCAATACAAAACAAAAGACAAATTAAGTGTGGACAATGATTCAGATTAAAATAACCAACTCATTTTCACTCATGAATTATAATTTGTGAACCAGCCAGTGAGATTTGCTTTTCTTCTTTAAGTAGCAAAAATTCATAGGTGATCATTTATGTTTGGACTCTGGAAGGTTAGAATATATTTGGAGGGGGGGGCACTCTTCTTACCCTGATGGCAAAACTCTGATGGAAAATTATGACATTGCGCTGCTGTTCGGTTATCGCCCGGGTTATTCCAGACCTTAGGCGATATTCTCCTTTTTTTACGTGCACAGGTAATGCGTCGCGAATGAGCGGGCTACCGCAGGAGAGCCGAAAGCCAAGCCTTTGGGGAAGCGAGAGCATCGTCTGCTAGTGAGCCGCAGAGAAACCCGGGGTTCTCCCGAGGAGGCAAAGGACGGGGGGTCGGACCCTGCCACGGCGTAGGGCGCTGCGACTTGCTCGCGGGAGATCAGCCTGGTTCTCGAGGGCGGCGCTGCCAGTAGAACGAGGGTTCCACCCGCCCCGCCACTGCGGTTGTGCCGCCGCTTGGTGTGTCCCAGCTGGCGCTCCGTAGCAGGGCGGATGTTGTGAGGAACCTCGGCCGGCGGGGCTTGGCGAGGGAGGCAGGCGTGTGGTGGAGGCGGCGGTGAGTAGTAGCCTCGGTGCCCGGCTCTGGCTGCGGGGGAGCCGCTGCCAGCGAGGCGGCTGCCGTCAAGACGCGGCTCGCGGGCTGCGACTAGGCCCGGGTGGCGGGTCAGCTGGGGAGGCAGAGAGCGCTGCGCCTTTAAAGGCAAGCCGGAGAAGCGGAGCCGGCTTGTCAGCCACGCGCGGGGAGGGCGGTGGGGCGCTTCGGGTGCTTGGTGGGAAGCCACCCGCGCGGCAGGGAGGCTCCCGGTGGGCAGTCCAAGGCGAGACTGCCTGCTGCACCGGTCCTGCCCTTGGCGCGAGCCTGCCGAGGGAGGCCTTTTTCGGGGGAAGAGTTGCAGGCGAAGGCTGTTCCTCTCACCCTCCTGCTCCTCTTCTGGGGTCTTTCCTGTCCCACAATCTCCAGCCTGGGAATTGGTGCCCTTTGCGCCTCTCCTTCCTTCAATTCCTGGCGTGCTAGCTAGCCACCCGGGCTAGCTAGCCACCCGGGCTAGCAGCCACCTCTTCTGTGAAAAACGTGCTTCATTTGTGACACCTTCCCAGAGTAGTGTGGAAAGAACAAAAAAATAAGTGCCTATGGACCGCCTTTCCACGGAAAGGCTTTTCAGTGTGATCTTGAAGCGTATTAACTTCGTAGGCGTTAATGCCCGCAGAATTTAGTGGGAAGTCATCTGCTCAGACATTGCACCTTAATCCTAAATTGATTAAGGCTTGTTCTCAAGTAAGCGCCGTCTATTTCAATGGGAGTGCGTTACCAATAATTGGTATGGGTGAGATTGATCACTAAACTGGGGGAGTTTGAAGGAGAACAAACCTCCCAGCAGTAGAAGGGGCAACTGTGAAATCCCGGCAAAAGGTCATGCATGGGCTATGGCTGGTGTTTCAATGCAAGGCTGATAGCGGATTTTTTTTCTTGTTACCAGTGGAAATCCCCAAATAAACATAATTCTACACCTGCAACCTTCCACATCATTTGGAGACCAAAATTATTGCAATACTATGCAGGTTGGTTGTAGTAATATTTCAAAATTACAGTTGTGATTTTGGCTTCCATTTCCATGTGCCAAAGCCTAAATGTAATTCTCCTGTGGATTTTCAGCTGTTAAGACAAAACTGATTTATGCATGATGTCTTTCCCCTAGTTTACATTTATTTTAGTAGCAAATGTCGGCCATAGTTAAGCCAGAAATTAAGATTGGGATTAAATTTTGTGCAAATTAATTTATTCACATTATTCACTTTGAGTTGCTATTCATATAACCGCTGATAGGCAGAAGTAAGTCTAGCTGAGAATATCTTGAATAGACACCTAACCCATTTTGTACAGTGTATTATTTCATGCTGTGGTCAACTAAATGCCAGTGCAAAGCCCATCATGATATAAGAGAGAGAGTAGAATTCTCTTGCAGTTGTCCCCCCACTAATGAATATTCACAGTAGGTTTCTCAACTGTGATTATTTAATAAGCAGCTATTGATAGCCTTTTTCTCCATGAATTACATTAAGATCTTTCATAGTGATCGTAATTTGACCATTGTTTCATTTTATGATATCTAACTGTAACCCTACGTGAAATGTATTGGGTAAGGAAATACTTTTAATGTGTCTAGAATCCGTATCAATCTTTTTTATTTAATGATCAAAACTTTTACTGTAGGAAAATGGATTCTACTATATCATGGATACAGTAAACCATCGATTCTACTCTAAGGAAAACTGCATAAGCTCATGAACATCTGGCTTATTTTAATAATTTTAAAAATGCCAAATACTACAGTGTTTACTAATGTAGTTACTCCACTCCCTGATAATTTCAGCTGACTTATTTGCACTCTTTCTGAGCTATCTAGTATCTTTCTCTAAGATAAGTGACCAGAATTTGGGCTTCCTTCTTAGGAATAGGCCTTCCTTCCTGTAATAAACTTGCATAAAATAGCGTTATAGAAATCGTAATTAATTAGAGCTATCTCTGCTTTTGCAGCTGCATTTTGTGTCCTGCTGTCTGTTTCTTGGTCTCTCTTTTTTTAGCATTCTCTGATATTAGAGTTGTTTCTAGATATGCATTTACTATCAAAGTTCACAATATAGAGATTATTAGAAAACCTGTTAACTCGGACTGGAAAATATTTTCTTACAAAGGTGCTGATTTGAGGAGAGATTGTTTTGAGTGACCAAGCAGGAAGGATTTACAGAAAGTTTTAATTTAAGGTCTCATAATGTAGTAAGGCATCAGGCAAGAAATTGACAAGAAATTGTGAGTTCTAGTCCCGCCTTAAGTACAAAGCCAGCTGCATGACCTTGAGCCACTCTCTCTCTCTCTCTCATAGCCCTAGGAAGGAGCTAAGTAGGGGCAAGCCACTTCCAAGAAACTTTGCCAAAAAAAAATTTAAGGACTTCTTTGGGCAAAGGCTCACATTCCCACCAGCAGAGATGTGTGGACAAGTTTAGTAATAATGTTTAGTATTTGTGAATATACTGTGGGGGTCAAAATATGGTTCATAATAATAACCTTCTGCCTTGTAGTGTAGTTCAAAGCAGCACTGCAATCTTAGCCTAGGGTTTTTTTTTACATTATGCTTCAGTCAGCATGTGGATATATATTAACTGTTTATAATGTTGCCAAAGTTACTTTTTGTGCTGTGTTGTAAAGGCAATATTGAATTACTATATATGCTTGTGTCTGTTACTAGATGAGGATAAAAGTTAGTTGCTTTTGCTGTTGTATAAGTTTAAATAAAGACTATGACGGTCAAAATGAGATGTATTTGGAACTTGAAACATCCTTGCTTCATATTATGAGGTAATGTTCTTAAGATGTTGTATGGGGACTTCACATTTGTGAGTCAAATATTTTTGAAGCTATATATAGCTAAAGTGTTATATGTCTGTACTGAGAATGGATCTAGATATATAACAAATACATCTTTGAGGATAATCTGTTGCTTACATGTTCTATTAAAAAGCATTACTTTGAATAATGAAGAATAATGAATATCTATTAAAGCAAGTCCCCATAAAAAACATAAGTCATATTTTTCTCTTGATGACTATCAACCTATCAACTTTTTGTACTTACATAAATATGTGTATATACTTTGTACATTCTTCTCAGGTTTTTTTCTGGAATAGGCTTTTTTCCTGTTCTTCATTCTCATCATTTTAATAGGTTTACTTTTCTTGTACAGTATTTGCTACAGTTTTCTTGTACAGTATTTGCTACTATACATTTAAATTTTATTTTTTGCCATTTTACTAGTTCTGCTTGCAAATTTTTAATTTTTACTAATCTGTTCTAGTTAATGCTAAATGAAATAACTTAAAAGTTATGAGTTTATTTTTCCATCTTAGCTACTAATTCTTATTTAGTATTAATTCTATTTAAGTCTAGATGCTATAAAATTGTTTTAAAAATATGTAGTGGATCATTATTTATTTATTTTTACATTTTTATAGCAAATTCTTACAAACAGGCATGCCAGAAAGTGAAAATGACACTGAAAAATAAAATGCAAAAATAGGTTTTTCTATATATTAATCTCAGTAGTTTTATTAAGAGCATTAAAATCTTTTATAGCAATTTTTCTACAAATGTTATAATTTCTAATTTATTTCATGTTACATCTTTGAAGTTAGTGACATTAATACTGTCCTGAACTATGACATCAAGAAGTTCTGGCACAGCATTTCCTCGGAAGAATTACAGATTAAGCACCGAGTCTGAAAAGTCCAAAATTGCAGGTAGGAGCAATATTGTGGATTCTGGGGAGAAGCTACTTATCTTGTAGGTTTTTCTTGGTTCTAAGTCAATTATATAAAGGTCAAATACAGAGATATATATTTTATTTGACATCTGTTTGGAAGGTCAGCTAAAATCATAAATCTTTAGTAGAAAAAAATCCCCAGCTAACAGAAAAAATAAACCGGGTACAAAAAAGACAGACCTATTATTATTTTTTTACTAATCATTAAGAAAAGAAAGTTTCAGAAAGTATATTGTATCGTATAGGTTAAGCTTACTTTCTAAATTTGTGAATACAATCTCATTCATTGGATATTAAATATAATGATACATTACTTGGTTGTGACCTAGAAAGCCCTACATGGCATGTGGCCAGGCTATCTACAGAACTGCTTTTGTCCCATTATATCAGTCTGTCCCACCCGATCAGGTAGGGAAGGTATGTTGCAGACCCCATCAGTTAAAGAATTCCAACCGGTGGGGTCTAGGAAGAGAGCCTTCTCTGCCTTTGCCCCTGCCCTGTGGAATATCCCACCCCCCAGATGAGACAGACCCCCCCCCTCTCCTGTCCTTCTGCAGAGGAGTTAAAATATGACTCTGCGGCCTCTTGTGGGAAGCTCAGAGGAGCATGCAGCCATGGAGATGGTTGGCACTCTGAGAGCCCTCCCTTTACCTTCTTGTAACAGATTTAATCCTTGCCTCCTTTTAATTGTAAATTTTCTATATTTTTACTTTTTATGTACTGTTTTTATATTTTAACATTGTATTGTACACCACCTAGGAATACAATAAGATGTTACCGGGGTTGATGGGCGGTTCAAAAATGTGAAAAATCAATCAATAAATTCCGTGTCAAAGAGCATTGATAGAAGCTGTCTTCAGTCTGGAGGAAAATATGTTTCTTAATTCTTCATTCACACAAATACAGAAGAGCTGGTAGTTTTAATTCAGTGAGCCTTTACTTAGAAATAGTTTTAGATGTTTATGAGCAAGACTTACGTATTGAATGGATGTGAGATTACTTGATGAAGCAGACTGAGTTAGGCAAATCATTCTACTGTAACCTGGTTTTTCTGAAATGGGAAATCATGCAGGAATATCATATTCTGTTTTAAATTGTAAAGAAGAAATAAATTCAACCAGAATGTGTTTGTCACACTCTGAAAGTAACACGAGTATCTTGATTATCTGACTTGGCTTTTGCTACTTGTTGTAGGAATAGTGAACGGCAAGCTCCTGAATGATTATCTTCATCGTATTTTTCCCAGTGCTGATGGAACTCAACCTTCTGCTGCATGCAGGTACTTGTTCTTAATTTATTAAATATCAAGCAGATCATACTATTTGGATGTGGCTGATGAATAAACCTTTAGCAGGTAGAGTTCAATGCTGACATTATATAAAATAGCTCTACCATCTGTTTTATATATTATATACAAGTATTTTTGTTATAATATTTGTGCAGGGCTTTGTCCTCATTTTGAAAAGGTATGTGAGAGGCAATAAAATCCTATTAGTTTTTATGGTACCTTGTAAATTTGGTTGTATGTTATTTACAAATTGCCAATAATGCCTTAATATCTATGCAATACTCAGAAAATTGTGTGTGCTTTATAAATGTTAAATAGTAACTGCAAATGTTTATAGTTCTTGAGACTTGTAATCTGAAAACCAATATCCACTAAATTTCATATAAAGATGTGAAATTAATCAGTTTCAGGTCTTCCAATGTGAATTCATCACTACTGTAACTAAGTCCATCCATTTGTCTGCTGATTGTCTCTTCTCTTTCCTTCTATCTGTTCCCAGCATTAGAGTCTTCTCCAGAGAGCTGAATCTTCATGTGTCCAAAATAGAATAATTTGAGCCTGGTCATTTGTGCCTTTAGTAAGAACTCTGGATTGATTTCTTTGATAAGCCATTGGCTTGTTTTCTTGGCTGTCCTCTGTATTCTCAGGGGCCTTCTCCAACACCAAAGTTCAAAGATATCAATACTTTTCCTATTTTGCTTCATTAGCATCTCTCTTTGAATTACTACAGGGTTACAGGTGTTGTGAGCATAGACAAATCACAGCATATGAATACATTTTTCAAGGTTTTCATGGCTGTTCTACCAAGTGCTGCTGCCCTCTGTATATTTCTTGACTGCTTGTTCTCTACTGTTGACTGTTGATCCTAGAAACATTCTTCCATTTCATTATGAGCATTGTCAGTTCTGAGGTTGGTTGTTGTATCTGTTGTCATTAGTTTGGTGGTCTTTATGTTTAATCTTGATTCCATTTTTTTCACTCAGCCCCTTTTATTACTAAAGTTTGCAGATCCTTTGCATTTTCAGTTTTCAGATAGTGGTGTCAGCATAGTATATGTTGTTATTGTTTCATCCTTCAATTTTAAAATTACCATAATCTTCTTCCTCTTAATACATCTTCACCATATGGCCTTGTTTCATTCCTTTACTAACATGGGACCAGACTGTTTCAATATGTTCTGTCTGTACTATGGCTTCTTGACTGGTATATAGATTTCTCATGAGGACAATAAGATGTCAATAAGAAAAGCTCTTTCATTTCATATTTTATATGTTAAATTTGAGTATAATTACATGATAATTCCTTTTTTTTTGTCCCTAGATAGTACATGCAAGTTTAGCATAGTACTAACGCTGCTAGAGTTTCATGTGAATATTTCTTAGGACAAATGCATGTTGTATGTTTTTATTTAAAGATCTGTTAGGGTCAAATTATACTTAGCAACTGAACTCACAACTGAGTTGCTAGTGTTGTTAAAAATAACTTTCATCCTGTTTTACTTTTAATCACGGGAGGTTATCAGGAAGAGGACTGGAATGGTTTCTTGTTGCATTGCTGCAGCTTTCCCAGACTGTTTATTCTTTAAGTATTCCATTTCAATATTTTTTTTATTTTGAGTTAGAAAATTTTCTATGTCAGATTTCTTTCATTAGTTTATTAAGTTCATAGAGATCATTTGGGTAGAAACAAAGGTGTTTGTTGGTAGCACATTTCCCACTATTTTGAAAGAGAAGCTGTATAAAACTTCTAATTATTATTAAATTGGCTTATTTTATTTATTTTAAAAATGATCCCCAACCCATTGTGGCCCCTTATTTCCTCAACCCCCTGTGATGTGGACGTGTCAATTGCTATCACTCTGCAAACATTCAGGCAAACATTTTTGCTCCCCAGTACAAAACTATATTAGAGACATGTGACACATTACATAACTCATGGATTCCATTTAGTTTGCTAGATCAGGGGTCCCCAACCCCCGGTCCGTGGACCAGTACTGGGCTGCAGCATGCCAGCAACCAGGCCGCACAAACAAGGAAAGCCCCATCCATGAGATGCAGGCAGCACACAAAACCACGCCCCCTCCTGTCCGCGGAAAAACCTCTCTCCACAGAACCGGTTCCTGGTGCCCAAAGGTTGGGGACCTCTATGCTAGATCACAAGTTAAGTGGGCTTCACTTATTATGTCAATTCAGTGGGAAGTTAGAAATCATCTTGCTATGGTATATTGAATATGTATAGCATTGTACAAAATTCAGAATTGAAGAAAAGGGTTGCCAAATCACTGTTTTGCTCATTTTAGGGGGAAAAAATATTTCAGATGCAGGTAGGTAATTCCTTTCTTTTGGAACATCCTTTCTATCAGTGAATGATGCAGGGTTTGCTGTTCCATTATGCAATGTCAAAATAATAGCATAGGGTCTGTTAGCATGCATTTTTTTAAACGGGAACTTTTTAGAACTTTTTAGCTTTTAATCCCTTTGAAGAAGAGTTCTCTTGTATATAAATAGAAACATGTGAAAAAGTAAGTACATCTCATTGAAATATTTCACTTGTTCAACATATTTCAACATAAGAGTTATTTGTATAATGTAACAAACATTATGCACCATTTACATTTTCTAGACAATTGTGTAATTTAAATAAACCTACATGGAAATTTTGCATGTGGAAAAAAATACACCCCTACATTTCTCACTACCTCAAATACCTAAACTTAGAATCAAGTGTAAATTAGAACATCAATAGAGAGGATCTGGGAGAAACTTGTCTTATTGAAAGCTCAGACATATAGTTTGATTGGTTGAAATGTGTGGTATCATCTCTAGAGAGATAGAAAGCTTTTTCAGGCCTCAAGGAAGAAGATTATAGATGTCTATGAGTTTGGAAAGGGATTTAAAAGATCACCAAATAACTGGCTGTCAATCATTCCATTGTCTGGAAGACCATCTATAATTGGGGAAGATTTGCAACACCTGCCAACTTGTCTAGGCCAGGCTGTCCCAGGAAGTTCACCGTGAGAGCAGAACACACAATACTGAAAGAAGTCTCTTAGAATGCCAAAATGTCATTATTTGATCTACAATTAGCTCTCGCCGCTATTGATATCAAAGTGCATGAGTCTCCCATTAGAAAGAAGCTGCACAGATTAGATCTATATGGGAATGTGTGCCAGGAGAAAACCTTGCTATCCAGAAAGAACTTCAGAGCGAGACTCAAATTTGCTTATAAGCACTTAGGCAAAGACCAGGACTTCTGGGACAATGTATTCTGGACCGTAGAGGCAAAGTTAAAGTTATTTGGTCAAAGTACCAGAAGACATGTTTGGCCAATAGGGTTTCACTAGAAGACCTGGACAGTAGTTGTAAAGCATGGTTGTGGAAATGTTATGGTTTGGGACTGTTTTGCTGCATTATAGTCTGGACAGCTTACCATCATAATAAATTCTTCATTGTGCAAGAAGGTATTTAGGATAATATGAGATCATTTGTTAGAGGATTGAAGGTGAACTGAAAGTGGACCTTTCAATGCGACAATAATCCTAAATATTCCAGTAAACCTACCAAGGAAATTAAAGGTTCTGGAATTGCCAAGTGAAAGCCTGGATCAAAATCCTATCCAGATGCTATGTAATGATTTGAAATGGGCTGTACATGCAAAAATCCCCTAAAACACCCACAGCTAGAAAAAATCTGCATGGAGGAGTTGGAAAAAAATCCTTCCCAGTCAGTGTCAGGTTGTTTCTACCAAGGGGAACAATAGCAGGCTTTGGAGCAAAGAATGTCCTTACTTTATGCATTGAAGGAAATGGCATATCTCATTTAATTTTTTGTTGAATAAATGATTTGCAAAGACAATTTTTTATATTTTTATTTACATCCCATTTTTCTTTATATACTGTCTGAAGATAAAATATTGATATGCCCCCATATGTTAAAAAAGAAAAAAACTATTGTACAGGATGTTCTTACTTTTTCACATGACTGCAGCTTTATTAAATTGCTATTTAGCTAAGGATAATGCTGAAATAATTTAGGAAATCTGATCTATAATTTATACAAAACACTTCACAGAAAGTCATTTTTTTTCTTCTGTTCAGGTATCCCTGTGGTTTTGTTGCCAAGGTTTTTCAGAAGTAATTTGCCATTGCCTCCTTTCTAGGGCTGAGAGAAAATGACTGGCCCAAGATCACCCACCTGGCTTTCATGCCTGAGGCTGATTAAAACTCACAGTCTCCTAGTTTCTAGCTTGATGCCTTAATCATTACACCAAACTGGCTCTCATAGAAAGTCATACAGAACTCCTAAAAGCAGTTCTTTTTATTCCTAGGAAGCATCTATCATTTCAAAATCTACAAGAACATATAGAACAATTATTAGCAGAAAGTGCCAGCTCAGAAGATGGTCAAGGTAGGTATCTGTTTGGTTACTATGTTAAAGTAACATAGAAAAGCATCTTATGAAAATTGAACCTTATCTTTTTTTTTATTCTATATGGCAGCATTTCTCAAAATGTGGGTCACAAGAATTAGCTGCAGGTCTCACTAGTTAGTACAAAATATGCTTAATACAAAATAGCAGGAAAGTTTCAGAAATCTGTGGTTAATTCGAGTACATTTTTTTTCTTTTTCAACATGCTATGTTTCTCTTTCAGAGGAAAAGTAATTATGTGTAGAAGGCAGGCAGCTTCTGTGCAAAGTTGACCATCTAACTTGATCCTCACTCAGCAGGGAATAAGAAGCTATAAAGATGTCATAAGAAGGACCTTGAAAGAATTTACATGCATCAAATACCAATAGCATTCTTGGTGGTGCCTGAGCTTGGCTGTTTGCTTACAGATATTTCATCACCCAACTAGGTAACTTCATCAAGGTCCTGTTTATGTTACCTAGTTAGTAACAAAACATCTGAAAGCAAACAGTCAAACTCAGAAAACACTGAGAAATCCATAGTTCAATCCTGAGCTACAGATATTGTCATGGATTGCAAAACGCTGAGAGGGAGGGAGGGAGGGAGAGAGAGAGAGAGAGAGAGAGAGAGAGAGAGAGAGAGAGAGATGGCTTATAACTGTTATCTTGTATGGCTGGACTGGGGAAGAATTTACCCCGCCCATAGTTTTGCAAGGTATACCACAGTGGTGGTGAGCCTATGGCACGGGTGCCACAGGTGGCACTCGGAGCCCTCTCTGTGGGCACACGTGCCATTGCCCCAGTCTTGTCTCCCCCCGCACCCCCCCTCCTCACCAGCAGCCCCCCTGGAGGAGAGTCGCCCCCGAGTGTGGCCCACGCGGAGTAGCACAGCCAAGAACATGGCAGCCAGGCAGCATAGACAAGACTCTGCCCTCATACCCCATCATACACAGTTGATGCTGCAGGGTGCGGGCAGAGGGTGTGGCCGCCATGGCGCTGCTGGGTTGCCTGGGCGATCTGCGGCGGGCCCTGGAAGTGGTGAGTGGCCTTGTGGGCAGGCAGGGCGGGGCAGGGGCGGGGGATGGAGTGGGGGCGGGGCCAGTTTTTGGGCACTCTGTCTCTAAAAGGCCATCACTGGTATAGCATTTTAAGAGCAGCTTAAGAGTTTGATTTCAAGGAAGAAAACATTGAGTAAGAATGACTGTCTTATAAAACACAGATTTCAGGAATTATGCAAAAGTAAATAATTCCTCAGAAGAACATGGTTTAATTTATATCTGGGGGATTGGGTTTTTTTTTTGCTTATTTCCATTAAAATGCTTTTATTTCATAAGGTTAAAGGCTTTTATCATTGCTTTATTTGATATGTAGGATAAAATACAATGATTAAAACAGGCACTATTTTTCTTGTCCAGTTCCAATGAAGTTGTTAGTTTTATGTATAGAGGAATTGGCACACATTCATTTATCATTTATATAAAATTTGTGAACTGAAACTTGGAGAACTGATGCAGTGATCTGCGGTACAGCTGTGAATCATTTTAACACGTGTCCAATGGGAAATGGGCTGTTGCTTTGAACTGAATAAATACATTTGAGGCAGCTTATACCCAAGATTTGTTTTAATAGATTTGTATTTGATTCAGAGATATTTGTAATATTGTAAATGTTAAATTGTTCTGCATGCTTTTTTATAGGCTGTAAAGTCTTTCCTTTTAGACATTTATAAAAATAAACATTATGTACATAATACAGGTTTTATGAAAAATAAGCATTTTTAGTAGTTTATAAATATCAACATTTACAATTTTCTTTGGGTTTGCTAAATGGTTCCAGTAATTAAACATAGTCTTATATTTAGATATTGCCTAAGTAATTTTAAATGGAGTGGAAAACCAAATTCAGCTTTGGGAGAACCACCATCAGGCAGCGGCAACCGTACTGAATGGTAGTAGGAAACCCTGTAAGGCAGGTTTGGGTACTCTGATAGCATGCCATAAGTTTTGATTTTAGCTTATCCATCTTTTGGACTTTATGAAACATGTTAGTAAATGTCAACTAAAGACTAAAAAAATACTCTTTAGAAATATTCTCAGATTCATCAAGTGACAAGAATAATCATAGTTACAGTGTTCGTTGTCTCTTTGCAAAAATTATGTTGAATATTTTGCATCCTTTTTTGAGTAATGCAAAACTTTCATTGATAGATTTCTTGTTATTTCTATTAGAATACCTATTAAATATATTTATTAACTATATCACTTCCTTTCTAAAATTCATTTCTGCTAGAAAATGGCACATATATTGCCTGGGATTGAATTTCTTGTAGAGTTCCAGGCCTTTCTCATTATACTTCCTGCAACTTTGTTTCAGATCAAACTGTAGATGGCAGACTCGGCCCTTCAACTGTAGTGCTGGATCATACTAGTGGCTTTGAAGGGCTCCTGCTGGTAGATGATGATCTGCTTGGAGTGAGTGTGAAATATTTAATTTGATAATAATAATCGCTGTAGATGTAGAAAAAAACTTTCTTTCCTTCCCTCAATAGGTAAACTATTTGTCAGCATTGATATGGGTTAACATTAATTTGAGATGCCATGTAGCAAAAAAACTATAACTGTGGATTTCTATTCTAATTTAAAATAAAGAGTTGTTTCTTTTTTTGCCCCTATTAGTGTTAAAATTTCATATTCATAAAGTTTTGCCTGCTGCAGATGTAATCAAGTGGTGTGAGTATGGCTTGGGTAGATAAATTGGCAGAGGTAACTGTCAACCACTGATCGAAAAGCCTAATCCATTTGGCACAAGACAGCTGAAATAAATGGATATAATCAATTGGTTCCAGATTATTCTTTTGGAAAATGTTCCATACCTGCCCTCTATTTTATGCTATTCCCTGTTATTCCTTTACTAAAATAATTATTTTGCATGTTGCCTTTCCATTTCCTTGGTATAGCTATAGTAATAAAAATAAGCTATTATGTGTTAATCCTTTAATTTTTAAAAATGTATTCATTTTAAATTTAGATATTCCTAAAGTCATGAATTAACAAGTTCAAAGACATGACAGTTAAACAGAGCTCTTTTTCAAGTGGTGAAATATTTGCATTGGGTATATCCTGTTAAATTATATATTGATTGCATATTATTATATATACAACAATGGGAAATCATAGCTACCGGTTCTTTAGCAAGTGTTGGCCTTCATATACCTTGTGGGTTTTTTTTATTATTTATTTAGGTTTGCTTATTTATCCAGAGTCACCTTGGATAGTGGATTGGTAGCATATAAATTTAATAAATAAATTTATTTATTAAATTTATATGCTACCAATCCACTATCCAAAGTGACTCTGGATAAATTTATTTATTTATTATTAATTAGATTTGTTAAGGCTACACGATTCCAAAAAGACTCTGGGCAGTTTGCAAAATATCCAGTACATAATTAAAACAGTCAAAAACATAACAAACATAATTGCCTGGACAAAACAATAATAATAATTGTAAAAAAACGCAGCAGGAACTCCACTAACACAATGACCTCAGGCCTGGGAGCAAAGCGAAGTCTTAAGGGAGTTCTGAAACACTTGGAGAGTGGGAGCAATTTGTCCCTAGGGTTGGGGGGATGCTATTCCAATAGGCAGGGGCTGTGACATGTTTCCCCAGTCCCACAACATGACAATATTTAAATGAAGGCACCTGGGACTCACCTACTCTGCCTGAATGTTGGGTGGTCACAACTAGTGAAGAAAAGCAGATATTCTTTGTTGCTCTCCATTTAAACTCTTCTTTCTCATTCCCTTGGAGAATTAGTTTCTACTGTTTCTGTGTGCTGTTGATAATTCCTTTTTTTTTAAAACTTGGTTTTATTTGAGAGTTTTCTCGTCCCTCACATTGCTCACTAGATTCAGTTTCTTATCTGAGGAAGAAGAAACAAATCCACCTCTCCACTGAGCCTATACATAAAGGTAGTCATGTATCGCTTATATTACCTATCCAAGCTGTCAGCTAAGTTGCCCTGAAAACAGAAGACATTATCATTCTTTCTTTATAAAGGTCACTTATTATTCTTGGTTTTGCTGTTGGTTGTTAGAATCACATGCTGAACCATCCATATGCACTTGTATTTTATCATCCTTTCTGATAGTTTTAGGCTAATAGTTCACATTGTTTCTTAAAGTTTTCACATGGTTTGATTGTAGTCTAATACATGTTGTGTCATCTGCAGCTTTCTCACATTATCACTAGATATTTGTTTGGAAAAACATGAGGTTAGGAAGGCATTGTGTAGGAGACATACATATCCTCATTCCTCTTACATCATACTTGCACATCTACTGATTTTAGGGGAGAGAATTCACAGTAGTTTGAGATTTGGGTCTTTGTAAGTAACACAATACTTTAACGTTCTTTCTCCTGAAATAAAGTACAGTGAAACCCTTGTGACAATCCCTTTTCTTTGTTTCTTGTATTAGGTGATTGGGCATAGTAACTTTGGTTCTATTAGAGCTACTACCTGTGTATATAAAGGTAAGAATAAAGTAGGGCAACCTTGGAAAGATGCTGGTTCAAGTTGGAAGACAGATGTAGCAAACAAATTAAAATGAGAATTTATTCTCCCAACTAATCTCTGGCTTGAATTTTTGTGTTACAGATGTCTTAGCTATTTTGCAAGAAATTTTTGACAATGAAGTATTACTATCCCCAAATTATTTTTATTCTACAGCTAATAAATAATGCTTATAAAAAACAAGGGGTTTGGAAAAGGAAGAATGGATTTATCCTTTGGAATTCCTTTAGGATTCCTTAAGTGTTTGTGATACTTGACAAATAATTGCAATCTAAATAATCTAAATGGAACTTTGCTGCATGTCACTTACATTCCCTTTTAGGTAAATGGATCTATGAGGTCCTGGTTTCATCCCAAGGTCTCATGCAAATTGGCTGGTGCACTCTCAATTGTCGGTTCAATCAAGAGGTAATGTTACAGCATTGCATACACAGTATTGCCACTCTTTCTAAATATTATTAAATAAATACTTGTTGTATTTCAAAGTCTGGGGCAGTATTGAGAAATCTAGGTGTGGGTGTTTACCCTATGTTGAGGTCTGTAATTTGTGTTTCTTAATGTTTTTCCATATGACACTGACAATAATTTATGGAAAGAGAGAAGCATCGTTGCAATAAAATGTTTAAAAAACATTAATGACAAGTGATGGAATATTCTAGTCTTAAGCTAACCTTTCTACTCTTGTTCTGGACATGTTATCCTTGTAAACAAAAGGGAAATACTAAGTTAAAGCTTAAAACATATTTTAAACATCTCACCTCTTGTAGTGAGATACTGACAAGAGATTATTGAAAAAGTATGGTATGAGAATACAAAATGGAATAATAATCCAAATACTTTGGTTAAAATTTGTTCTTGGTTGGTTCTTACAAAGGAAGGAGTTGGGGACACACCAGATTCATATGCTTATGATGGGAATCGAGTGCGCAAGTGGAATGTGACTACAACTAACTATGGGAAAGTAAGTGTCCCTAATTATTTTATTGATCTTGGAAAGTAGTAGTTGAGTCTGAATATGTAGCTGCCGTCATTCCATATTGCAGAACAGAAGGGTATAGTTTATTATATTTCTCAGATTGGAGAGGAAAGAAGATTGGGCTATGGAGTGGGATATGAAGCAGAAAGATAATATAGTCAAGGAGGCATGCATGTTTAATAAATTTGAAAATAACCATGAGGGAATACTGTTTACATGTTTTCAGAAAAACTCTTTTCTTCTTCCAGTCTTGGGCAGCAGGAGACATTGTCAGCTGTTTAATAGACCTTGATGAGGGAAACATTTCTTTCTGTTTGTAAGTATTGTGTTCAAAATCTCCTGGGTGTCACTTGTTACAGCAGTGTTACAACATTTCAGCATCACATGTCCTAAATATATTCATTGAGATCATAAACAATATTGTAACAAGGTTTTTTCCCCACTTCACCATAATACTTCTCTGTAAAGTAGAATTAGTAAAAGGGTCGTATCGTGCTGTATTCAAGTTATGTCATAGAAACTGGTACAGATTATTTTTGAGCAGGAATTTCTACTGTAGGTTGATAAAATTGGTAAAACCTTTCTTTCAGTCCCGTGTGAGACATAAAACATGAATTGATATTAAAGTTAAGTAATCCATGTGACTGGCAATTCTTATATGATTCCTGTGAGGCTTCAGTGAATAGGCCATTCTATATGAGAAGCTGATCTTATTTACTGCAATTATCTATAGCATTGTATCATCTAAAATCTACAGAGAACTGTAGCTATATAGCAGAATGTTCACTGGAATACTATGTGTGAAGGGCAATGATAGTTAATATTTAGTGATCAGGAATCATACTTTTAAAAAAATATGGCTTTATTTGGCCTCTGGTGATGTCATTTGAGTTAGTGAGCTAAACTTTTTGGCCTGCATGTTTTGGTTTTCAGGGGCACGTTTTAAGATGTAAAATAGGAGCCTTTAGCCTTGCAGAAGCATAAACCCATTTTGTCCTTTAATTTTGCCATGGGAAAAAATTGCCTAAACCTTTTCTAAGAGTTATACAAGATTGAAAGACAAGGCTTCTGACCTACGATCTTATGGATTTAAATAGAAAAAAGAAGTGGAAAGCAAGCAAATTTAGTTAGTTGGTCTAATCTTAGCAGTATACTGACGTATACTGACGATAGTTCTGCCTTCCATTAAATACATATGCCACTATACAGTTCTTAGGAAATCTGATATACTTGATGCAGCAACTAAAAATAAGAATAGATTCCTTTAATGCAGAATCCCCAACTTAATAATACTGAGAAAGCTAAAAGTTAAGCAATAATCTAAATGGATTGTTCCGACAGTTGTGCCAAGTGATTATAGAATGACTTGTTCTTTAGACACATACACTTCTGCAGAGAAAATAGCATAGGTCTGAATCATTTGGTGGCATTCTGAGACTGAATACAATCTTAGGGCTCTGGCAAGAATTTACCTTTGGAGATAAAATCCAGGTCTGGATCATAGCAATGGGTGAGCAAATTCTGCCCTTAGGCTGTAGAATCTGTTTTATATTTCTTGGGGGAGGAGATGCTACATGGCTTTGAATACTTCTGCATTTTTCTTATGACTGCCATGTAAATCCTTTATG